AATAAGAAAGGGTCAACAACCACTAGGTCGCTAAACCCTAGCCCATGTGTGACATGGTCAATCTTTGACCTCAGGCCCTTAGACCCTAACCCTAAACCCTAACCGCTAACCCTAATAAGCAAGGGTCAACAACCACTGGGTCCCTAAACCCTTACCCTAAATTGCTGCTAAACCCTAACCCTGAACCCTTTTTTTTTTTTTTTGAACCCTAAACCCTAACCCTAAAAAAAAAAGGCTCAATGACCGCCGCCATGTGTGACATGGTCAATCTCTGACCCCAGGTACTTAAACCCTAACCCTAAGATGCTGCTCTAATCAAACGATTGCACGACTGTAGCACGGTCAATATCAAACGCTTGCTAATTTAGTTCGAACCACCGCAAAACATCGTGCCAGAACTGCAATTGAACCCTAAATCGTGAACACTGACCCCTGAACCCTAACCCTAAACATGGAACAACAGCCCCTAGACCCTAAACCCTGTACCCTCAAAAACCTTGAACCACAAACCCTAAACCCTAAACATAAACCTTAAAACCCCCAGCAAACCACAAACCCTAAACCCTAAACATAAACATAAACCTTAAAACCCCCAGCAAACAAAAACCCTAACCCCCCAGAACACTACGAACCTAAATCCTGAAATACCTAAATCTGGCCCCCAAAACCCTAGACTCCTATCCTTGACCCCCAAAGCCCTAAACCCTAGACCCCAAATCTGGAACCCTACACCCTCAGAACCCCAAATCCCTGAACTCCAAACCCTAACCCCAAACCCCGAACCCCGACCCCTAAACTCTCGAGTCTCAACCTAAGCCCTGAAACCTTGAATCCCACATTCCCCCTGACCCCTAAACACTAGCCCCAAACCCTAAACATGAAACCCTAAGCCCTCAACCCTAAACATGATACCCTATGCCCTAAACCCTAAACATGAAACCCTAAGCCCTAAACCCCTGAAACTCCAAACCCTAAACCCTAAACCCTAAACCCTGAAAATTGTACCTGTCACGCAGCAGGGTGACGTGATCAATATTCGATGTCTGATATCACAGTGCAAATCACAGTCAAAAATGGTAGACTGACCAAACACCACCCATAATTTTGGAAAATGCAGCCTCGCTCCACTTCAAAACATTTGGACATATCTAATGTGCCGGGACAATTACCATCTCTGGATACATTGAGAATGTTGTGCTGTGGAGCGGGGCCCATAGCATCAAGATTTGTTGTAGTATTCACGTCCACAGAGAAACAAAGAAACAAGAAAAGCCAAAAAAAAAAGAAGTATTTCTCCCATCGTAACCCCCCATCATCACAGGGTGGAGAGGATACTTTTGTTTTGTTCAGTGACAAGGGAAGAGAGATCGAGAGAGGGAGACAGCGAGAGCGAGAGAGGGAAAGAGTGAAAGCGAGAGGGCAAGCATGAGCGAGAGCGATACAGCAAGTGAGAGCGAGCGAGAGAGAGAGAGAGAGAGAGAGAGAGAGAACCTCTTCAAGTATGCGGATGTATTTGGCCTCTCCTGTGCCTCCAGCCTCAGTGAAATTGCGCACAAACCTCCGGAACCGGTTAGTTGCATCCCTGACATTGATATTTGTCCCCCACACAAACGTCTGCGTCACCTCCGGCGGGTCTTCCTCGGAGACGAAATTCTGAGATGGCACATTCTGAAAACCAACGATCAAATTGAGATATAGATATAACACTGTCAATAAGTGAGCAAAAAAAAAAAACTTAAGGCCCTTAAACCACCAGTACTTGGCCCAGCTATTGGCCGCGGAAAAAAAAATAGCGTAGAAACATTTCTAGTCGGATGAATTTGGTCGCTCCTGTAGTAGCCNTTCCTCTTCAAGCTTTCTCCTTTCTTCCTACAGCTTAGACGAAGTTGTTCATTTTCCTCATAGCTCTGCCTCTTTATCTTCCCCTCCACCGAGACTGGGTACCATCAGATTGAGGTGGAACCCGCGGGAGCGCTACTGGGAGCGCTGCGTCCAGTCCGATTAGGCGTGTTCATACGGCACGGTGCGGGGGGGGGGGGGGGGGGGGGGGGGGGGGGGGGGGGGGGGTCGTATTTTTTAGATGGTCGATGGAACCGGGCTGTTGTTTATATTATTATTATTTAAAAATAAAAAAATAAAAAAAACATTTAGATCCCTGTAACCAATGCCTATCTTAAGTTCACCTCCCTTCGCTTGGCACAAACGGTACAGGTGTGTATGCAGTGTGCGCCATAAGGAGGAGTGCTACCATCTTCGCCCGAATAGAACGCCCGGTCATTATAGCTCTATATGGACTGAAAATTGCACCAAATACGGCTATGATGACCGTGCATTTTATGCGTGTGAAGACGGCAGGCCTAATCCGGTCTTTCTTCCTAGGTGAGTTCCCGGAGATGGATTAGGCTTAGCACCATTCGCTTTAACTCTGGGAACTAAGCTAGAAAAAGGCTGGACTAGGCCTGATCCAGCTTGGCTGCAGTCTTCCCCCGAATACAACATACAGTCATTATAGCTGATTTTGATGTATCTTTCAGTCTAAATTCAGCTATAATCACGGTACGTTGTATTCCGGTTAGACTGTAGGAGAATTCCCAGAGAGCTAGATTAGGTCTACCGGTAGCACCATTCAATTTAGCTCCGAGTACCCACCTAGAAAGGCTTGGGGTTTAGCTTGGGAAAATCGCCTAGGAAGGCTGGATCAGGCCTATAGTCTAAACACACACAGCATCCAGCCTTGCTAGGCGAGCTCCCGAATCTTGATTAGGCCTAGCACTGTTCGATTTAGGTCCGCAAGCCCTCAATCGAATAGTGTTAGGCCCTCAATCGAATGGTGCTAGGCCCTAAATCGAATGGTGCTAGGCCCCCTAATTTAGCTCCAAATTAGCACCACCACAAACCCCAAACCTAGAAAGGTTTGGTTCAGCTGTCAGAACTCACCGAGAAAGTCAAGATTAGGGCCTAATTTAGGGCCTAATCCGGCCTTGCTAAGTGGATCCGCGGAGCTGGATTAGGCCTACCGGTAGTAGTACTATTCGATTTAGCTTCGGGAACTCACCTGGAAACCCTGGGATTAGGTCTAATCCAGGCTTCGAGCTGAGTTCCCAGAGCTGAATTAAATCAAGGAGCGCTACCGTCTTCCCCCGAACATAACACATATGCGTTGTCTTCAAGTTTTCGAAGAAGAAAAAAAAAAAAAATTGATGATGCGAATAAAACGCATGTGCGTTGTATTCGAATAGAAAGCAACCTATGCATGGTATTCGTTTGCAACGCATGTGCGTTATGTTCGGGGGAAGACGGCCATATGCAATCAGACTCGACTTAGTCACACTTCGACATGCATGCAAACAGCGAAACAGCAAACTGGCCACATGCGCCCACACAGTACTCGAAGATATCGTAACCAGATAAGAGTTCTCTTCCACTGGCTATGGCGACTGTGCGCCCACACAACTCACTGTTCACACTCGAGATCACCCTGGATGTCCCACACGCAACACTCAGTGTCTATACACAACGCACMCACACACTATACTACAGCTATGGCAGCGCTAGCTGCCACTACCCTATCGCTACACTACACTTCTCTGCCCACTTCGTCTTCGGGCGCACTGCAGACCTCCTCGCACAAGCTGCTGAGGCAGCGCTTCCGCATGGCATCCGCAGGAATGAATGTATGGCTGGACGCAGCCTCTTGATTTATACTTCTGCGCTGCGTTGGTCTGCCCTGTATCCCTTGGCCCACGATGTGCACACAGTCCCAGACGGTACTTGCTGAACAGGACCGGACTGACTAACTGGGACTGTTGACTCAGCAAGGTGGTCTACCACCACTTGCCTCTGTTAAATGCAGGCTAACTCCGAAAGGCCACTTCTAGAAGTCTCTCACTTGGCCTTTCGGTACGGTAGCAGCTACGACTTTGCCCTTTCGGTAAGTAGCAGCTACGACCTTGACCCTTCAGACATCCTACAACTACGACTTCGGAACTGTCTAGACTCCTACCCTACAAGTCTACAGTTTGATTCCCTTCTAAGCTGTGACCTACGACAATCTACCTACCACTGGCGCTTCGACAGGTCGCAGGCTCAAATCTACGGGTTGACATCAATACTGTACAGAGGTAAGATGGGGAACTAGGGATCGAGCCCTGGGATCTGCATTCGCTACTGCGAATTGGTGAATACCGTTTCACATAAGCCAGAGCCAGCCTTTCTAGGCGATTTCCCGGAGCTACATAAAATAGTGCTAGGCCTGATCCAGCACCCCAGGAGTACCCCTACCATCTTCTCCCGAATAGAACGCCCAGTCGGTCACTATAGCTGGCTGCATTTAGCACAAGTTTCAGTCCAGATGCAGCAATAATTAGCAGTCGTTCTGGAATCTGGATAGTAGCCCTAATCCAGCCTTTCTAAGTACGTTCCCTGAGAATTGAACCGAGCCTTTCTAGGTAAGTTCCCAGCGAGAAACCGAACCATTTTAGGTAAGTCCCCAGTGTTAAATCGACTAATGCTAGGCCTAATCCAGAATTTCTAGGTGAGTCCCTCAAGAACTAACTTGAAGCATGTCAGCCCTAATCCAGCCCTTCTATCTACAGTGCCCATTGAATCGTAGATACATTCATTCTCCCCTTGGGCATCCTTTTCACCCAAATCGAACGCCCAGTCATTCTAGCCCCGTATTTGGTGCCATTTTCAGTCCAGATACAGCTATAATGAGCGGGTTTTATATTCAAGGTGACGATGGCAGGGATGGATACCCTGAATTGCATGCCGTATTTCATTTCTCTCCTTTTCACAAATTCCTCGAGGCTCTCAGTTCAAACCTCAAGGACTGAAAATCCAAACTTCAGATCGTCGTAGAGGCTTAAAAAAATTAAAGAAAAATAAAAATAAAAAGAAGAAGAAGAAGAAGAAGAAGATTCAAACTTCAAATTCACTAATTGCTCTGGTTTCTTTTTACCTCCTCATCGATTTCGCCCCAGTGACTGCCTACCTACTCCGTGCGTAGGTTGTTTCCAGTGGTTGCAAAAAACACTAGAACACTAGTAGACGTACATCACAGCCGTCTACGTCTAGAAAGTTGGCTTTATGTACGTGCTATATCAATCAGCCTTTTCTAAGCGGGAATAGGACTGGGACTGACTTGTCTAGCTTAGAAAAGTCTGATTGATAGCGCGTACATAAACGGAACTTCCTAGACAACATCTTCGATCTCACAGACGCAGACCGCCGCGGTCCGGAGGTTCCATTCAAATTACAAAGAGGAGCTGCCCTACCATCTGGACCGCCACGGTCACCTTGGTTGCATGTTGCCCAGGCGGCCCGGCAGAGCTAAGGGCCAGGGAAGGTCCCTGAAGAAGAAAGGGGAGGGGGGGAATGCAAAAAATGCAAAAAATCCAGGGGGATAAAAAGTTATTAAAAACTATATTGTGCAGAAAAATAAACTGAGCAACTTTTGCCCCAGGGTGATATCGAAAGTATTTGCCAAATCAAAAATAAAAATAAAAAAATCAAAAAAATACTCTTTCCCTTTTTTTTATTCATTTTTTACCAGGCCGGGCAAGTGGTCCCCGGCCACCACTCTGGTAATACAGAGGGGGAGTTCATACTACTTCTATAGTAACTTCAAACATTATTTATGTGCCCAAGATAATAATATCAAAGGGAGGATCATTAGATTCATTACTGACCAGGGAAGAATAATTATTATATATATATTTTTAATCAGTTTAACATTGTGTGTTATGGCACCTTCTCCCCTTCGCATGCAAAAAGCTACTACAGACTACACACACATTCTCATCAGCTCCTCCACTTCATTACTTCTCTTTTGGAGTAGTTTTCACTTTTAACACAAGCTGACTTTGCATTTGGAGTAGTTTTAACTTTTAACACCGGTTTCAATCTCACCTGTTCCTCCGGTATCCCGCCAGCAGATGCAGTGGGCGTTTCGGGAACTTGTGGACGCTGGCGTCGATACCTGCGATGCGACCCGCCGACATCGCTTCTTGGCATCCTGGGTCTACAAGATGATGGAGCACACTACTTAAGGAGCATTTCTTTTTTCTTTATTTGGCAAGCCATTGGAAGGGAATGAGTGAGTTGTAGAAACAGGAGAAAAAAAGACAGAGGCACAAGAAGAATATATAATATGAAATGTCATACAATGTAACAGAATATGATATATATCGTCAAACAGAGCTTCCCTTCACCATTTGAGAGCGAGACCGTTTGGATTTTCATATGTTTTGTTTTAACTTTTTAAAACTTCTTTATTTTAGTTTTCGTTTCGTTCTTTTTGGTGACACAGCGTCACCTCGGCATACATGCACTCCAGTGTTTGACTGCTACAGATTTATATGACCAGAGTCACTAGACTCTAGAGGGAGGGAACTCACAGTTTCAACTCACAGTTTCAACCAATGCCCTGTGTTGATTGGGAGTGATTCCATCTCCTACATGGACTTCTTCCCAGTCTCATTTCATTCCTGCTTGGTCAGCAATCAATCTAACATCTGCACCTGCCTGAAAGAATGTGTGTCTACCTGATCTAGCCATCTCTAACACGGATAGAAACCAAAACAGAACAATCTCTCTCTCTCTCTCTCTCTCTCTCTCTCTCTCTCTCTCTCTCTCTCTCTCTCTCTCTCTCTCTCTGTGTCTTGGCATAAACATTCACTCCAACACGCTAGTTCCCTGAGCATGTGCTCTACCATCATATCATGTTCAGCTTGAGTGGGGTGAACTTTGGACTAGTGATATACATGGTCTCCCTATTCTTTGCCCAGTAGCCTCCCTATGCTTTGGACTAGCGGTAAACATGGCCTCTCTATTCTTTTCCCAGATAATAGCCTCTTCCCATCCTCGAGCACTCTTGATGAGAAGCACACTACCATCCTGTGACGCAATTCTGAGTCGAAAGCAAACAAGCCCATGCATTCATGGTTTCCAAGATGCTTTGACTCTGCTGCTCTGCATCAATATCTGTGCAGTTCAACCAACAAAACTTGAATCTGCCGCTTTCACAGAAAACTTCTCAAACATATTCTCAATCAAAACTTCAAAACTTTAAAAACTGTATTCTCGATAAAAACTTACAAAATGTATTGTCAACCCAAAGCAAGCGTGTTCTCGATCCAAGTGTATTCCGTACGAAGCGCTGAAAATTCACACAGGCAAGCATATACATATATGTATATAATATTATAATGACAAAAACAGTAAAGGATGAGAGCACGACAGACTTCACATACTCGCAACCGCACTGTAAAGCACAAAACAATCACAGATGCACGCACCTAACACAAAAGAATCAGAGATGCATGCACCTAACAAGTAACAAAAGCACAAAGGCTCAAGAGAGAAACGGAAAAAAAAAAAAAAAAAAAAAAACCAACGAGTCAATGGCCACCTTGCTACTGGTGACCCCTCCTGCCTCACATCCTTCATGAAGACACAGGTGACAAGACCGCTATCGGATGCCTGACCTCAGGTCCCTAAACCCTAACCCATGTGTGACATGGTCAATGACCGACCTCAGCCCCCTAAACCCTTAACCTAAAAGGACTACTAAACCCTAACCCTAAGCCCTAACGCCTAACCCTAATAAGAAAGGATCAACAACCACTAGGTCACTAAACCCTAGCCCATGTGTGACATGGTGAATCTCTGACCTCAGGCCCTTAGACCCTAACCCTAAACCCTAACACTAAACCCTAACCCTAAACCCTAACCGCTAACCCTAATAAGAAAGGGTCAACAACCACTAGGTCGCTAAACCCTAGCCCATGTGTGACATGGTCANTCTCTCTCTCTCTCTCTCTCTCTCTCTCTCTCTCTCTCTCTCTCTCTCTCTCCCTCTCCCTCTCTCTCACACACACACACACACACACACACACACACACACACACACACACACACACACACACACACACACACACACACACACACAATGCCTAGTGTGTGTGTTTGGATGTGTACACAATTATGCAGGCCGTTTGCCTTACCCAAAAGTTATTCAAAAGAATCAAAACAGTAGTTTTGTTTTGTGCATAACAAAACACACACATACACGCATAGAAACCAACAAAAAAAAGCAGGGACGGATACGTTCCTCGCGAGCCGGGAGTTCGAGGCGTGCCATCATAAGGAGTGACATAGTCATCAGAAGAAGGCTGATGCCCACTGGATCTTGACGGTCGCCTGCGAGGAGTGAAGCCCTGCCGAGAGGACGGTTCAGACCTGTAGCCGCTAGCAAGCGGGGAAGTAGCAGGTGGTGGGGAAGAGACAGGCGATGTTGGAGGTGGTGGAGACGTCGGCGGCGGGGGGCTTGATGGGGGCGGTGGGCTCGATGAAGGAGCTGGGATTGGTGACGACGGTGGTCCTGAAAATAAAATAAAATTGCCATTGAACAAACAAACAAACAAACAAACAAACAAACAAAGAACACATGTCCGACACACGCAACCATTTCATTAGAACAGTGGCATGATCAAAGCAGATGACTCGTAAACTTTGTCCCAAGGATCCCGAACTCATTAACTTCGTCTGTAGAGACCAGAACCGAGTCCACAACGTGGGACCCTGTTTGATTGAGCTGGTACTCCAGCTGTTGATTTCTCAGATAGAAGATAGGCCTGATGTGCATGAGCTGTAGGCATGCAGGTGTGCAAGGGAGGTGGGTAGTTGGGGAGCGGCTTGACAGCACTACACCAACCACACAGTTTGGGACCTTCTGGTCCACCAATAGATTCAGGCCCATAACACGGAACCCATGTGGAGCCCACACTGAATCCAGACTGTGCATGGAGCCCACACTGAATCGCAAACAGAATCCCGAACTGATTCAGGTGAATCACATGGAACCCACACTGAATCCCATGTCCCATGGTTTTGACCAAATTAAAGAATGAATTTCCACAATGAATCCCCCCAACTGAATTCCAAACTGAGTCCCGAGAACTGAGTCCCAAACGGAATCCCAAACTGATTTCTAAACTGAAAATCCCACACTGAACTCCAAACTTCAATTCCAAACTGAATCCCAAACTGAATCACAAACAGTGTGCTCATGGTTTCAGTTAATTACACAATGAACTCCACAATTAACCCCAAACTGAGTCCCAAACTGAGTCCCAAACTGAGTCCCAAACTGAGTCCCAAACTGAGTCCCAAACTGAGTCCCAATCCCAAACTGAGTCCCAAACTAAGTCCCTAGCTGAGTCCCTAACTGAGTCCCTAACTGAGTCCCTAACTGAATCCCAAACTGAATCCCAAACTTCACTTCCAAAACTTCAATTCCAAACTTCAATTCCAAACTGAATCCCGAACTGAATCCCACACTATGTGCTCACCACGCGGCTTTCAGAAAAACTGACCGAGGCCTATGAGGAGGTGGGTGGTCCTCCAGTTCTCTAATAGCCCCACAATGTCTACTCCAGGAGTCCTCCAGTTCTCTTGTGCACTCGTCAGTTTTTCCGAAAGCTGCGCCCTTCACGGAGCTGGAGGACTACCAGTTCTCTTCTCTTGTGCACTGGTCAGTTTTTCCGAAAGCCGCGACCTTCACGGAGCTGGAGGACTANAGTTTTTCCGAAAGCCGCGCCCTTCACGGAGCTGGAGGACTACCAGTTCTCTTCTCTTGTGCACTGGTCAGTTTTTCCGAAAGCCGCGACCTTCATGGAGCTGGAGGACTACCACTTCTCCACTGTTTCCCAAACATAAACAAGGAGGGTAGGTAGTTGAAGACCAGTGCATCAGAGAACTGGAGGACCACTGAAAGCCAACAGAAAACATCTACATAAAAACAAGGAGGAGGAAAAAAGACAACCAGACCATTCTAAACATGAATGGAAACTTTGACGAAGAAACGCTTGGGAGGCCAAAACAAATTTGAACATGGTAATGACTCTAACGAGTGTGCTAAGGACCCAAAAGACTCACAGCATGCATGTAAGACCCTGCCCCCCCCAAAAAAACAAAAAAAGAAAAAGGGGATTTGTCCTTCGGACATCCGTTAAAATTGGAACGATACAGAGAAAGAAGATTAGCATGGCCCCTGCGCAAGGGATGACATGCATTAATCGAGAAATGATCCAAATTATTTTTATTTTTTATTTTTTAAAGGGGATTTTTGGCCTGCATAGGTTGGCCAGATTTTTCAGGGGGTAGGTGGGCGGTTTTGGGGGGAGGGGAAGGGGGAGGGGCTCAAGTTCGTCAAACCACCAGGACTTTTCCCAGCCATTTTGTTCCAACACGGCCGTATATACACCGCAACCTTCAGGGACCGGCCTACCTGGCCCCCTCAACAAAATGACTGGCAACACAAACCTAATTTTTTTTATTTCATGCCCGCGCCATTTCGACAAAACCCGGCATGCAGCAAGAATCGGCATCGGGAGAACACCGTTCCGACGCACTGGTGTTTTAAACAAACCACCACCTCACACTTCCACCCGCCAAGGCAAAAAATGTGGGCATCTTTTTTCTCCTCTTAACTTTCACACACACACACACACACACACACACACACACACACACACACACACACACA